TCACCACTCCGCTGGTAAGGACCAACCATGACTTACTATCTTCCATAGTTATGAGGATCAAGAACGGCATAAGCACCACTGTCGGTGATGAATTCGACGGTCTATCGCCGAATATCAGCATCTCATCACGTCAAGCAAACGTCTGGGTCCTACCTTCTTCAGGTCGCTCAGGTAAGTGGCATCCGGTGTACCGGTCATGGAGCTGGGCACCAAACGCTCCATCAAGAATGGAACACGGAAGATGTTCATACCCGCATCCCGCAGAGTCTGAATCTTGGAGGTATCGGGCCATGTGTAGTCGGTACCCAGATTTCCGGGAATGCTGCTACCAAACTCTGCACCAGATTCGTTGACACCGACCCCTGCAGGCGTATAGTGTTAATCTAATCGAGATACCATACCATGGCAGGAGTATCGCCTCAACATACAGGTAAATCCAGAAGAGCGTTTCTTGGCCATCTCGCGTACGGGCAGAGCGCCGACAAGACCAGCAGCGCTGGCGGCCATGATCAAGTTGCTGATTCTCATTGTGGTGGTTTAAAGAATGTGTGTCGAGTTTGTCGAAAAGCAGTAAAGTAAATGGGGAAAAAAGAAAGACGAAAGACGAAAGACGAAAATCAAAGTCTAATGAGTGACAAGAAACCAGTCTTGAGTTATAGAGGGAAGAGAGAGAGGCCTTCAGAGAACTGGTCGATCGTACTCATCTTATATAGACCTCGTCATCTCGGAATATGCGGTTCAGGAATCCCCGTTCATTTCGCAAGCTCCACAGCTTTAATATTAAGGCAAGCTTTTCGGCCTCTGGTAGGGCTCCACGGCGTGGGTCACATCGATATCATATTGGAAGGGATCAAGCATCCGACCAAGCTTCGAGTTCTCCATTAGCTGTGGCCACCAGTCACTAGCCGGTTTTCCTGGCAGCTCATCTTTCGAGACTTCTGAAAGTGAAAAAAAGAGCATAGTCGACATAAAATCTCCGGGCCGGAGCTATGGATTCGATGATGGAACATGAGCATGATCTAGAACGACGCTTGAACAGTCGTAGTGGCGCCGTCAAGGAGGAGTTGGATGGAGCCGATCATTGTTTGAGACGCAATATCAAGTCTTCATCTCCGGTATTCCAGTCAACCCAGTTCTTCGGCGTCCAACGTGAAGTGGGACAAAAAAGCGCAGGCTCAGCGATGGCCAGAAGGCTTAGTCGGCGAATAACTACACTGGTGCCTGATCCGTATATTGGATCCTGAGTGAATTTGATTAAGGAGACGGCGAGGAACTGTTCCAGACTCGGATAACGTCAACGCCATTAGCCAAATACCCAATGTGATTGCCTGATTTCGTTCGTGTGGGTAAACGAAAGGATGAGAGGAGCTCTGCTTTAGATGAAACAGCGTAGCGCTCCAAGGAATGTGCTCGTTGGCGGAGAAATTATTTCGGGGTCATTGCTAGGATCTGGGCCGTTGATGGATCAGGCACGGTGAGCAACGGTTGTTTCGGATCGTGCAACCGAAAGCTTGTACCAGGGTTTGTCTAAAACAACATATCTGAGGTTCTGACGTCAAGATATGTGCTTTGGCAAGTCAGAAATCGATGATTGAGAAGATTGGACTTAATTGCGGATGGATAGGAATAATTGAAAGTCGAAAGCTCCAAAGGTCGAAGTGAGACACAAAGACGTTAACAAGACCCACCGGAAGTCAGCCATCAGGAAACTAACGGTTTTTAGGTTGCATGTTTAATGAGCTTTTAGAATTGAGTATGCACTGGAGTTTCGAGCAGGAAAATAGGGGGTTACCTTATTATTACTGATTGTCTGATGATAGTACAAGAATAATTTATAATGCCAGATGGGAAAACAGGAGTAGAATATGGCCTTGGTAACCGCCGGTGTTTGGTTACAGTACTGGCGAGAAGCCGCAACATAATGCGAGCTACATATGACAGCCAGGCAGGCGAGAATGCCCCTTCTGCCAGCATTTGACACAACTGGTACGATTCATTGAAGAGGTAGGATGTTTCGGGAAAGAAGTTCGACGCTATGAACATGCGATTCCATTATTTGCTGACGTGGAACTCAAATGACCTATCGCCTTTGCCGGTGGGAATTGCATTTACATCATTGTCGTAGAGCGTACGTTCAAAGTATCTCACTCGTCCATTTGCACTTACGAGCACCACGGTCTGTTTCTGAGTTCCGTATGCGCCCTGCAAGAATGACTTGTCCAGCGAATCGTGCGGCGGTTGACTTTCGACTGGAACTCTGTCTGTATCGCGAGCTGCAGCAACCTCGTCGGCTGCCCTAGGCTTCTCTGCCCGTGCTCCAATGACTGGGACGAAGATACTTTGTCGCAGCAGCAGGAGGTAGGTATCCAGAGTGGCGTCTCCCGAGAGCCTGGGGAGAGTATCCCTGCTCAGGACTTGAAGTAGCCGGTTGATGAGTTGATCTTCGTCTTCACCCGCTTGCACATGAGCATTAATGGCCTCAATCATCAGCTTTTCCCCGTCGAGGATCTTTGGCCAGGAGCGATCACCGAACGTCGTGTTGCTGAGTCCCAACGTCTGACCCTTTTCTGTGGCAACCCAAGAGATCTCGTCCATATTGGCTGACCGGTTCGATACGATGGCTAGCGGCTCATTGACATAACCACAAACCAGGCTAAATCCGCCGACATTTTTGATCTCGGGCGAGGCTACCATTCCCTGTACGAAATCCCTGGTGGATTGCCTTTGCTCAGGGTCCGCTGTAAGCCAGTTGTTGACAATCAGGCCTCGACTGTGTACCCCACTAGGCTCATCCGCTGTAGTCTCCCGATAGTTGGTCAGGACGGCTATTTTCCCTTCTTTTGTAACCCCCATCCATGTCCCATGTGTGGCTCGAGCCAGATCTCTGCCTCCAAGCACGTTGGTGCTAGGTTCCGGCCACCAGTCGGCGGAGGACGTTGGACGACGGAGGAATTCCTAATTACTGTTAGTTTATATAGGCTGACAAGGTGCTCCGAAGGCGATATTCGCATACATCCCTGTTATCGATAACGATCAGAGGATAGGAGGGGTGAGCTGTGGAAATTAATGCGATGCACATGTTGTTCGGACGTATCAAACGGTTATAAGAAACAACAAGTAAATATCTGGGACAAAGATAATATATAGAAAGAATTGAAGTTTACGCGCAGTCCAGGCTCCAGAGAGACAATTGAAGCCAGCTGATGGGTGGTATGACGGGGAGCTATGAAGCGCCAACGCCGCCAAGTGTCGTTGTTGGGCACACGAACAAGAAGCAGGGAGGACCAACGCTCGTGAGGGGTAACCCACTGCTAAGTAATAAGCAATATCTGACCAAAAGGAGTAGAAGAGCTGGGGTTTAGCCACTCGATATTCAGATTGATCGCAATCTCAAAAGCATGGGCAAAAGTAGCATAAGAGTCTGGGCTGGCAGCTTGAGGTCATCAGACCCAACAGAGCAATACTGCCGGAAATATCTCTACCGCCTTCTTTGTTCACCACCGCTTTGTATATACAACCTATCCAATTTAGGCTTAGTCTCAAGCTGGCCTAAATCTGCTTAAGGCTCGAGACGCTTTGAGATTCTTAGTTGAACCACAGTCAAATCGTTTCTTTGGCATCAGATATCATGCGGTGATGTCTTGAAGAGCCTTGTTAATATGGAATTTGAGCTGGAGACAAGCAATTAACTGAGCACGCGAGATGCTGTTGGTTTTAAAACAATGGCGTTCTGTCCGCGACGTCCCACATTTTGACCATTTCTGGTTCCGCAGTGGGCATTCCAGATTTCCATAGCTCAGGGTAACCTCGATTCGTGTTGATTTTGTACGAGGATATTAAGATGCCGACGTTCACCTGCGCTAACCCATTTTCGAGCGCTGTTGGTTTTAAAACAATGGCGTTCTGTCCGCGACGTCCCACATTTTGACCATTTCTGGTTCCGCAGTGGGCATTCCAGATTTCCATAGCTCAGGGTAACCTCGATTCGTGTTGATTTTGTACGAGGATATTAAGATGCCGACGTTCACCTGCGCTAACCCATTTTCGAGCGCAGAGAATAGGACTTTTCGACTTGTCAATTGCAATTAAAAGACCTGACCAAAACGAACTGGTCAACTGGCACTCCTTTCAAGTACCCAGAAATAACTGGTTCATTGAGACTGATGTCTAATTCGGCCAAAGCCGAGATGAAGACCTGGGCCGAGTAGGTACATCTCCGTTGCCTAACGCCTATGGTGCAAGTGTGTTTCTTGCATGAGCTCCTGGGTCCAGGTCCTGTTCGCCTCGAATGCAAAACTCCCGACATAACAGCTTAGGACTTGTCGTTGGTCGTCAAAAGCCCTCCCTGAAACCCGCGCGATCCTTTATGACTGGACGGACTTTGGATCCATAACCCAAGATAGGTAATTATATTTCCTGATATCTATCTAGATTCTACAGTAGTCGCACAGTGTTTCGGATACACCGATGGCTACAACCGGCATCTACAGTGATCGACACGACTAGGCTCTTCATGGAGATTAAGCTGGCCAGTCATCTTCCAAATATTTCGACTCGGGACTGGTACCAGATCCAATAGTCAAACCCGTGAAGTTGGAGCAACCCTCCCTCGGTAGGTTTAATTATTTGATAGAGTGATCATGATTCGTCACTTCGCATATGCTCAATGGCACAGCCTGGGTGCTACAGGTGGTACTAGAACAGTCAGACAAGGGCGAGATCAAGCATGAGTGACCAGAATCCCATGCGCAGTGACCTCATCCAAGATCTTGTCAAGCATACATAGCACAAGAATCGCTATGAAGAAGATGGTTGCATTGTTCGTCACCGTCATTGTTCTTGTGCCCCCTTTCCCCACCTTGCGTCCGTTATAGGGCCTCGGCTAAAGTCACGTTTCCGCTGGCATAGTTCATAAACGCGAGGCATCCTCAAGAGAAATATGAGATTTTGAACGATACTCCCGGAATCTCTAGTCTCCATCGATTCAGCTTCCGATTACGATGGGTTTGCCGCTTCTGACGATAGCGGCTGTGGCTGTTGCCCTCCGTCTGCTGTGGACGCTGGTTTCCAGATGGCAGCACGCGCAAAATGCCCGCCGACTAGGCTGTGGTTCAATCCCTCTTTATCCTAGTGATCCTCTAGGTATCAGTGTTCTCAAAGAGGCTTTGGCAGCAGATAAGGCGAAAAAGCTTCTACCAATGGTTGAGCGCCGAGTCGCGCTCATGAGCGACCGCGAGGGCCGATATGTTACGACCTTCCGGTTTAGGCAAATGGGACGTGAGAATTATTTCACAACGGATCCGAAAAACATCCAAGCCATTCTGGCCACTCAATTCAAGGACTTTGAGCTGGGCGCTCCTCGACGGCAAGCTCTACACCCCCTTCTGGGGGCTGGCATTGTAGGTTTTGGCCCATGAATATGCAGAATTTGTGAGGCATGCTAACAACTCGGGTGTAGTTCAGTTCCGATGGCGAGGAGTGGTCTCACGCCAGAGGTCTGCTCCGTCCTCAGTTCACGCGTGATCAGATCAGTGATCTTGACCTGGAAGAACGGCATGTGCTGAAGGCGATGCAGGCGATGCCTGTCGTCAACGGGAAGTGGACCGACGCAGTGGACGTCCAGTCCATCTTCTTCCGTCTCACTATCGACTCTGCGACCGAATTTCTCTTTGGCGAGAGTGTTGAGAGCCAGCTCTCGGCCTTGAAGGGCGGCCAGACTCCCGAGGACAAATTCCCGTACTATTTTGACAAGTCGCAATGGTACGCGGCCCAACGGGCCCGCTTCGAGAAACTGTACTGGATCGTGAACAACAAGGAGTGTCGCCACGCGGAGAACGAGGTGCACGCGTACGTGGACCGCGTCGTGCACAAAGCGCTCAAAGCCGCCCGCGAAGGCAAGCTGCCCGACCCGGAAAAATCGTCCCAATACGTCTTCCTTCACGCTCTGGTTTCTGTGACTCAGGACCCGATCGAACTGCGCTCGCAGCTGCTAAACATCCTCCTCGCTGGGCGGGATACCACCGCGTCCCTGCTCAGCTGGACAGTGCTGATGCTCGCGCGCCACCCGGCCGAGTTCCAGAAGCTCCGACAGACCATCGTCGACGAATTCGGGACTTACAACCAACCCCGCAATATCACCTTCGCCGCCCTCAAGTCCTGCCAATACCTGCAATACTGTCTGAACGAGACCCTGCGTCTGTTCCCCGTGGTCCCCGGCAACCGCCGCAGCGCGACGAGGGATACCACCCTCCCCCGCGGCGGAGGCAGCGACGGCACCCAGCCCATCTACGTGCGCAAGGGCCAGCCCGTCGTCTACAATGTGCACATCCTGCACCGGCGCAAGGACATCTGGGGCCCTGACGCCGAGGAGTTCAAGCCAAGCCGGTGGATCGATCGCAAGGTAGGCTGGGATTATGTCCCGTTCAACGGCGGGCCGCGCATCTGCATCGGGCAGCAGTTTGCCCTCACCGAAGCGGGATACGTTCTGGTCCGGTTGCTGCAGCGCTTCGACGCAATTGAGGATGTGCAGCCGCATCTGGAGATCCGGCATTCTCTGAATCTGACCAGTGCGCCGGCGGATAATGTCACTGTCCGGCTGCGTGAGGCGGCATAACTTGCTTCTTAGGGTCTGTCTATTTCTCACATTAGTCGCATTCGCAGTTTATGTTGATTATGCATATACATAACCAATATCAATGATACCAGTTCTGCGCATGATATTAAGCAAGTCTCATCTTGAATTGGTAACCAAACAATTCGTTCAAGACACGCTTCATCAATTCATCACTATATTTATAATAATCTACTACCCAACCACCATCAAAAGGTACATCCCCTCGTATCCACTAACAACAACACTCGCAACACTCGAAACATGCAAGGCCCGCACACCTTCACTCATTAGCACCAGCACCTCATCATATAGTACAGGAAAGGAAAGGGAAAACCTACACCCCACAGCAAATATCCTCCTTCTCACCACCCCCCCCGCAATCTCATGTCCATTTGTTCTTGTGCGGGCTAAGACAACAAGGCAGCGTCAGTTGATACCGTTAATAGATAGGGGAGTATGGATGAGATATACCGGCTGCTGGGAGACGAGCTGGGTTGGTGCTGCGGGGGTAGATGGTTGGGTCATGGTAAGGGTGTTAGGGTCCCAGGTAGGTTGCTGGTCCTCTTCCTTTTTGGAACTGAAGGGGTTGAGGTTGAACATGATGAGTGAGAGTGAGCTGGTTGTGTATGTGTATGCGCTAAGCGATATGACTTTTGGGTCAGTACTGACGAGGGAGGAGGTGAGCAAGGAGACACTGGGCTTGAGATGAGACAGGACGGGACGGTGAGTCTTAATCTATTGCTCCAGGAGTCGCTAGCCCAGGGTCAGATAGTCTAGTTTCAGTTCTGATAGCGTCTGATCCCATTCTCCTGCTAGATTACTTTGTAGGAATCATGCTGCCTGCTGAGTCGGCACATGATCCGGTTCTGCTTTGTCGATGGTCCGTCTCCAGGTGGCATGGCGCCGGGGGCTGAATTGGCGCTGATCCATTGGGTGTATTGTAGGTTCCAGCTTCTATAGCCGGGTGTTTGTAGTGTGTTGTCAGTGCATTAATCCCTCATATCTAACTGTGTGTGATCTGTCCTGTGATTGCACTAAGAGGCCGTTATCTGCTTGAGTGCCCATCGATTGCTGCCAATGGGGCTACGTCTCCATATTGCCCGGAGTCTAAGGCGAACAAGCCTCCTTGGCACGGCTTATCTTGATCTGCTCTTGATCGTGGTCCACGTCTTGCTTCACGCTAATCATAAATCTATCGAAGTGTATATATGTACTCTATTGAGACTGGTGACTGACTATACCTTCCTCTTGACCAATCCTCGGAAGAAATCAAAACTGTTGCTGTCACTCTGCAACTGCCACACTCGTCCCGTAGGTCGATCGTCCCATCCCAACTCTTCCGCCAGCAGCAACCCATAATCCCGAGTGATACCCTTGATGCGGGCCCGCGCTCCGCCTTCTTCCTCTAATGTGACAACCTGGTGCATGTGCAGCCAGTCGTCGTAGTACATGGTCTCAAACTCCCGGTCAAAGCCTGTCCGTAGGAAGCGGGTGTACAGCTCCTCGAACGTGGTGAGGCACCGAGCGAGGAGTTTCTCAAGTGTGATTGGGGCGGATTTATTAGAGACAAAGCGAGAAGCTAGTGCATTCAGCGAGGTGGTCGGAGAGGCGTTCGTGGCGTTGATGCCGATTCCAACGACGGCGATGTATTCGTTCGAGGAGAAGAGCGAGTTGATGAGGATTCCGCAGATTTTGGTGTAGTGTTTCTTGTCCGGGTTTTCGGGGTCCAAGGCATCTGTCTCATTAGCTAGCCTTATTTAAACGAGAGGGTCGTACTTACAAACGTCATTTGGCCATTTGAGCTTGACTGGCATGTTCTCAAAGCCCACGTCGTAGCTCTTGATGCCCCGGACGACCGCCATTGCCGCCAGATACTGAAGGAAAACCACCGGGGCAGACTGGATCTTTTCGACCGGGTGTCTTACCACCGTCGAGAAGATCAGGGCCCCTGCGGGAGAAACCCAGACATTGGAGCCTCGGCCTCGGCCTGCGACCTGGGTGGTTGCTGTCGCTGTGAATCCGTGCGGCAGTTTACGGAGTAATTTGGGATTTCTGTATCCGTCAGCTCTGAAGGACAAGGTTGGACTCAAGTCTTACTTTTCCAGAATCGTATTTGTACTAGTGACCACCTCCCCATACATGATGCTCGAACCGAAACAGCCAGTACCCTCCCGCGTCTGTGACTGGTACTGTTCGAGGTTCGCGTAGAATGCATGGTGATTGAAGTAAGGAGTTGCTTTTGAGGATGGAAGTTCGTCGTGGATCACCAAAGGTTTGATGATTGCGTTGTAATCGACAATACCCTCGCTAGCACCCTGTTCAGACTGAGGCAGAGACTCCTCCAAGGAACTCATACTCCAAGTTCCAGATTTCTCGATACGAAACGTATCGTTTTCATCTTTGATGAATTCTTCGTCGCCCTCGGTGGTAATCACCTCTTGCAACGACGATCGGATGCGGGAAGTATCAGCCGGATTTTGAGACGACAGGTGCAACGACGAAAGGGATGGCACAGTCGTGGTATTCTGAGTGACTTGCAGGCCCAACTTGGACAAACAGGCCTTCAAAAAGTCGGTGCGAGCTTTATCATCCGCGGCCAGCGCATCCACCACCTTGGCATATTCCTCGCCTCCAGCCTTTTTGTCTAGATTTACCGCTGCGAACCTGCTCATTTGCGTCAGTCAGTTGCCCCTCGGATTCTCTGAATAACATACTCTGGATGCGGCCCGGTCAGAATGGCCGCTCCCTCTCCCACCTTACAGTAGACGACGGCAGCCGCACCTGTGCCGGGATCAACATTCAATTCCTCCGTGTAGCTGGCCAAAACCTCCACGCCCTTGTCGGCATACAAGGGCGCATCGACAAAGACTCCACCCCCGTTGTAATAGCACTTGAACCCCTCCGGCACCACGCCGGCTTGCAGTACATCCTTGGAGACCTTGAGGTCGGCCGCCCGCGCGCCCACCTCGCTGTGGTACACGAATCCCGGAAACGCACCGCCGCGGCATATCCCGGGGAAAAACGCCAGTTCCCGATTCCCGACGACTTCCATCGTCTTATCGCCGACCTCGAACTCGCATCGCTGGGAGCCATAGTAACCTCCCGCGCAGAAACCGAGGTATGCGCCGCCGCGCTTGACAAACTGCTCGATCCGACGGTTGCCCGCGCCATTGAGGGATCGACAGTACCCCAGGTCCGCTCCGCCGGGCATCACCAGCAAGGCGCAGGTTAGCGTCCACGGCTCCTTGATGAGCATGTCGGCGGTCACGGGGATCACGGCATAGTGCGGGGCGAGCAGGCGGCGGAGGGTATAGAGGCAGTGTCGGACAGATTCGACGGTGCTGCCATTTCCTGGAGAGGGAGGAGAACTAATTAGACTATTTGATCTCCATGCGGATTGGGTGAGCGAACCGGAGTAGACTAGAACGTTGAGCTTCTTGCCCGTGAGGTTCGGCGTGGTTGCGGTCATGTCGCGAATGCGGCGAGTCGGTCTCCGGACGGAGGACGATCAAATCTTTCTTAGACACAACTCACAGGCTTATACAGCACACGTTAGAGCAATTGCACAAGATGTCGAAGAAGGAGGATAAGCCCGCGGTGGTCCCGGAAGTGGACGACGACGAACCTGATGAATGGTAGGGATTTTCGTTGCACTTTGATTCTCGGAGATTGAAGATCTGGATTCTGGACTAATGCGGAGTCATCGGTGACAGGGACAAGCGGATCTTCAGCACCGGTTGCGCAGGTGAGTTTACAATCACGAATATGGGCTATAGACAGCTGCTAATTGAGGATCAACAGTCGAGCAGGATAAAATGAACGACTGCTATTTTACGAAGAAGGACTGGAGACTGTGCAAGGACGAGGTGAGTCACGATGAGACCGCTGCAGCTGGATGCAAGCCACCGCATCACGTTCCTTCTGGCTTGGTTTCATCTCGTCATACATAAGGACCTAGGAATTGAAGCTGATGAGTATGTCTGGCAGATGGAAGCATTTCGCGAGTGCTGGAAGCGCAAGGGCAATGACCAGCGGACTCAAACCAAGGACGCTTAGACTCAGAACGAGTCAACCTGATATTTAGCCTGTACTATAGATGCACTATTGTAAACATATACGAAATATCACCACTTTAAAGCTCAATCTCTGCCAATTCAGACACTTACAGATGGTGACCACGTAAATCACGTGACATTATACAGACGCGACGTCAAGCTCTCTCCGCAAGAGAAGATCCAACAACGTACCATCCTCAACCACACTATCACCATGGCTTCATCGCATATGCGCCGCTCTCTGCGGCTATTAGAGTCTACAAGCTTTACAAGACTTCCATCTAGATTGACCTCCCGATCCACCACGCAGCACATCCTCGCCCTCACCAGATCCATCACTACCAACAACAACCCAGCAACCCGGACAGCCCCCAAAACCCCCATCCCCTCTACACCAACTCTACCAGCAAAAACATCCACCTCCTCATCCACCGCACCCGCAAGCACGCCCACAACAGACGACCGCACCGCCCGCATCCTCGCCCCAACACCCACCCACCAAACCACAACCAACATCTCCAAAACCGGCCTCGCCGACGCCCCTCTGTCACCCGACTCACACCCCGAAGAAAAAATCGACTGGACGCGCTCCTTCCACGGGCTCTCCGCCGCGCCGTTCCCCAAGGAAGTAGCCGATATCCTCCTCGCGGAAGTCGACCCCGAAGAAGTCGAGATCAAGCCAGATGGCATTCTGTACCTCCCCGAGATCAAGTACCGGCGGATTTTGAACCGGGCGTTTGGGCCAGGTGGCTGGGGCCTTGTGCCGCGGAGTGAGAGTATTGTTACGCCGCGGACCGTGACGAGGGAGTATGCTTTGGTTTGTAATGGGCGGTATGTATCCTCTTCTCGTTCCCTTTGGGGAATAGAATAGGGAGAGGCGATAGGGCTAATGGCGTACAGGTTAGTGTCTGTCGCGCGGGGCGAGCAGGATTACTTCACGCCGGATGGGATCCCGACAGCAACAGAAGGGTGTCGGTCTAATGCGCTGGTGCGCTGCTGCAAGGATCTGGGGATTGCGAGCGAGCTGTGGGATCCGCGGTGGATTCGCAAGTTCAAGGCGCAGTATACGCGGGAGGCGTTTGTCGAGCATGTTGTTAACAAAAAGCGGACGAAGATCTGGGTGCGCAAGGATGATCAGGTGTCGTATCCGTGGAAGGAGACCGGGACTAAGTAGTAGACAGAACATGTCCTGAGATTGATGACGGCGTGACCCGTCAGATGTACATTAATTATGCGAAATAGAATTCTTGTTACATTCGAATTACTAGTTGATTGGCTAGTTGGACATAGATTTCACAGCCCACTATATGCATCAGATCATCACCCATATCCCATACCATACCAGTACAAAAATGAATCAAAATACCACCAACGCCATCCGTTTTGGGTTCAGTAACCTAACTATTGTCCTCCGTACGGCGGACGCGACTGATTCCAATTCCTGGAATGGTCGTCAGGGTAGCGCTGTTGTACCCCCGGCGAACCACCTGGGAACCTTCGGTAAGAGTCAGTATCGGTCTGCTCTATCGCCGACGGGAGCTCGAGCGGCTGCTCCGGATCGTACGCCGTCTCCTGGCTATGAGATCCGTAGAAACTACCTCCGTAGTTTGACATGCTGGGATAAGAGGGATACTCGGAGGGGAGCCCCTGTGATGTAGCGCCCGCCGGCGGCTGCTGGCGAGGAAGAGGGGGCACGGGCTCCGCGATGATGGGAACTCCGCCTGCGGTGGGGGAAGGCTGGGCGGGTTGCTGGTCGGTGGTACTGGTGCCTGCCTTGCGGCGGCCGGTGGATGGTTCACGGCCGAGGTTGCCGTAGTTGACGCTGAGTTGGCGGTTCTGGTTGGGCGAGGCGGCGGGGGTCTGGTAGTTGTCTACTTCGTTCGGGGTGCGACTGTTGGAGCGTTCCAAGTAGCCCGAGTCGGTGGATGAAGAGCCGCCACGGCGCTGTAGCGTGCCGGATGACTGACTGGCGCTGAAGCCGGTTGATCGAGCCTGTTCCTGGGCGGCTGCATCCACGGTCGTCCCGGCTGCTGCTGCGCGTCGCTGGCCGGAGGCGGTCCGCGTGATGTTGTTCTGCTCGGCGTTCTCGGCGTCGGGCTTGTCGTCCTTGTCGTCCTTGTTCTCGCTGTCGCCTGCGGCGTCCTCCGCGGCAGCACCAGGAGCGCGGATGGGAATCTTGCGCACGGCGCTAACCAAGGCACACATGAATTTGGAGCGACGCATGGCACGGATGGACTCGTTGGCCCAGTTGGATTTATGGCGGATGCTGACGGTCAGCTCCAGCTTGTCCATGTCGCCGACACCAACCACGTCAAGGTCGACATCCGGCTGGAAGTCCCGGTAGTTCTCCTTGTCACGGACGAATTTTTCCATCTCATCGCGGAGGAGCTGGATGTCGGCAAATGTAGTGTCGAAGCTGACGGGAATCTTGAGTGTTTCGTGCATGGCGTTGGAACGAGTGAAGTTGTCGACCCAGAGAGTGTTGAGGACAACGTTGGGCACCTGAGTCACGCGCTGATCCGTCACCGATTTGAAGACGGTATACAGCAGCGAAATGCGCTCGACTATGTAGTCCTTTTCGCTAATCTCGACCCGGTCACCAATGTCAAAGGGATGCTTGACGAACAGGAAGATGCACGAGCCCAGGACTTCCTGGGCGGTGGTCGCGAATACGAAACTGAGAGACAGAAGAGAAGTAGCGCCGGCGGCGATGACAGTGCCGAAACCGCTTGTCACAAACGAAATGAAGACCAGCACGCAGATAATACCGGCGACAGTCAGCAGCAGGTTATCCAAAACATGAATGGCCTGGTCGACATCGTACATGCTGTTGTTGAGGGCCTTGCGGTTCCGTCCAATCTCCCCGACAACCAGAACCATCTCGTCCAAGCTGATATCACCGTTGCCGTCGCGATCGAGCATATGGAAACATTCCTCGGCAATCATCTCCTTGCCGGCTCCCAAGACCTCGGCGATGTCGTCGGGGTATAGAGCATCCTTGCCCTCAATGACAAAGGACATCCAGATTCTGCGTGCCAAAGCTTCGGCGGCCTTCCGGCGCTCCAGGGCCTGTGTGACAATACCGCGCACGGAAGTGGGGTTAAACACTTCCTTGCCGGTGATTTCGTGGGCGACACCACCAAAGGCGGCAGTAACTCGGTCACCAAATCGACCAACGTTGTGACCAACATTGCGAATCAGCTTGAGGGGCATCGAGGAGCTGGAGCGCGAGAGGACGGGTCCCTTCCCGGTGGCTGCAGTCAAGAGCGAATCGGAAATGATCATATCCTCCTCGCGAAACTCCTTGCAGTACATGGGGAACATGTTGCGGGAGGCGTCGTAAAGCTGACCGATCAGATCAATATTCCGCTTCGACTCCTTGATCTTCGAGTCGAATTGCTTTCGGTGGTAGCTGATGGAGATGAGCTGGACCAGGAATTTCTCCGCCAGTAGAATCAAGCTACAGACAAACAAAGCGAACAGGATATTCTTGACGGATTTCTCCCAGGGTTTGGTGGAATTATCGCCGGTCCGCTTCTTCTCGGGGTTATATGTCATGACCGGAAGGAAAGTCACCAACGAGACGATGGTCCAGAAGACCGTCGCGATGGGCAGTTCTAGTGCGCGAAGGATGAGAGCATACTTGCGAGTTCCCGGGCTGACAATTCCACAGAGGAACTGAAACAGGTATGGCAGAAAATGAGCGATAATTTTGCAAATCCACAAACTCAACCAGACAACCTCAATCCAGGCAAAGAACCAAGGCAGTGTCACGCCGCCAATTCTCGCATCCTGCGCAGCCGTGCCTCCCACAATGATTGGAATAGCGATCAATAGCGCGATCGGGGTGACATAAATAATGTACCTCGTAACGATAGAGAAGTTGAGAATGGCCTGGTAAATTCTCCCCATCCGCGTGAGGGTGCCATCCTCGGGTTCCTCGAGCGAACGGCCCGTCGCGTCGTCAACGGTTTTCTTGCGACGGCCAGGCCCAGTGCCGGCGACCAAACCAGCCTTCTCGCTGGTGTTGGTGTGAACATCTTCAACGGGAGGGTGATAGGCCGCCGGAGAAGTGGCCGTGTGCGCACTCCCCCTCCGCGCCCCCGTCAGAGTGCGACTAGGGACATTGGTGAGGGGAATATCAATCGTAACGTCGTGTGGACTGGCCATTATAGTATCATTTGAGTAATCAGGAAGCGGTTGAAAGCGATGGGCCGACAAGCGCTTCTCCGTGAGTCCAGGTCGACCGGACATCGAAACGAACGAGGAGAGAAAACGGGTCCAATGACCACGATTCCTCTGACTTTATACTTTTGACTGTCTGACACTAACCCAAGGGAAAAGCGAGCAACGGCCTAGAAGCTGACCTGCAGCCCTGACAAGGGAAATTGAGTGGGGCGAAGGGTCAGCGAACCAGTGCCTGGGTTTTGCAACAAGCCAAGCGAGCTATTATCACCCGCGATCGACTCGTCGATCCAGAGAAAAGCGATCTGATTAGGCGCGAGGCCGTTTGAATCCACGCCTCCAAGGATTGACCAAATACGTAGACTCGACACAAGCGAAAGAACCAGAGGCCGACGTCGTGCGGGGACAGTGGAGTGGTGGGCCGGACCAAGCGAAGCAAGAAAGACAAGAAGAAGAAGAGAGAATGCGATTGAGCGATTGGGAAAGACAGACTGGAGTTAGTGGCCAGATGGAGAACGAGAGGTCAGTATGATCTAATGCGATGAAGATCAGATCGAAGAAAAAGAAACGAAACAGAACTGAGCGGAGGAGAGAAGAGATTCGATGGAGGAACGGAATGAGGAAGAAAGAAAAACAGGCCTGAGGCAATAACCCATAGAATGGATCAGTCTAATAATAAAATATTCCACCAAGGCATCAACCATGGACAATAGCTCACTGGAGGAAGAGAAGTAAAAATTCTATTGGGGCAATGTTTCACCATTCCAGGAACAGAACGCCACAGATCAGTCGTCGAGGCAGTGGGTCAATCATCACATCATACTATTTTCATCGGTGCAGGGATTTCCAGCCGATTTTGACGGTCAGATTATCGACGCGTTTCTAGGAGACCAGCATTCTTGCGCGTGGTTACATTCCCATCACCATGAATGTGGTTCCTCAGCAATGATCAGGAACATCCTAATACAGAAGATATGCCAGAGGTACGGTACATACTTAAGTAGAAGCTAGACCCGTATGAGTGGGAGAGCTCTTCAGGTTGCAGCCTTCTAAGTAGATACAAATCAAATCGAATAAACCATCAGGAAAATAAATCAATCAATCAGAGCTGCAGGGCAAACAGAAGCAAGTGGCTATTGGTCGCTAGGGTTTAGTGCCACCCACAGTGTCGACTTTCATTGGGTTCCTCAGTGGACAGATACGTTAAGGTATTCTGGTATCGTAATAGTCTCAAGCGGACAAGCCCGACAAGCCACCGTTTCATCATCGTCTTAGCTGAGTCCTAGTAAAAGTCTGCTCAGTTTCTAGACTGGACACACTGACATTCTTCAGTATGGATTGTGGAAGGTCCGTGACTCTGGTAGATTCGAATCACTCGATAGTCTAACAGTCGAGTCTGACTGTCAGTGTCTCAGTGAGGTCTTGGTACAAGCCTTAGATGTAGATAGATATATAGAGACGATCGCATCCATCCGGATGCACGTATACAGAGGAATCGCTTCAATTGCCGTTGCATCATTTTCACTCTTGCTGTGGACACATAGAGAGGTATTCTGCCTGCTCAATTCCAAGTAATCTGTCAAGATCATCTGGATTTCGTCACGTTTTCCCCGCAACCACGGATCGCTTGTCATCCACTCTTTATGGGTCTCATACTTCAGTCTGGGCCAACTGACTTCTTGCTCATCGGAACTTATGTGACGATCCTTACTTCGAACTCCAGCCATATACTGAATCGGTCCATAACGTCCTCCCGAATCCGCCTGGCAAACTCCAGGACATGAAAGCCATTCACGCTGCCGTAGTTCACTATGACGAGAGCATGCTGGCCATAAACTCCCACGCAGCCGATTTTTCTGCCCTTCCAGCCGCATTTTTCAATTAGCCAAGCTGCTGGGATCACTTTCAAACCATTTGCTCTCGAAAACACAGGGATTGCGGGCTGAATAGTCTGCAGAGCGTCGTACGCAAGCTGGTCGACGACTGCGTTCTTGAAGAAACTGCCCGCATTTCCGAGCAACTCTGGATCAGGCAACTTGCTCCTGCGTAGCAGACACACAGCATCTGCAACTGACTGGACCGTGGGGACTTGCACTCCCCAATCTTCCAGAATGCGTCGAATTGAGCCATATGTCGTGTTCAGTCGATGGCTACCAGGATTGGTGAGTTTCAATGTAACACTGGCGATGAAGACATCTTGTAAAGTATGTTTAAACGCACTGTCCCTATAGCCGAACTGGCATTCGGCATTGGACAGCTGTCGTCTGGCTCCAGTAATCAAGTCGATTGCGCACAGACTTTCCAGCACATCGCTGAGTTCCACACCGTACGCCCCGATATTCTGTATCGGTGCTGCGCCAACCGTGCCTGGGATGAGGGCCAGATTTTCAAGTCCCCCGAGACCATGATCGAGGCAGTACGAGACAAGTGCTGTCCAAGCGACTCCACCACCGACACGAAGTGTCGAGTGCTTCTCGTCCTGAGAGACAGTTTCTATCCCGCTGATTTCGTTTTTCAGCACGATGCCCTCGTACGTATCATTGGCGAATAGAATATTACTACCACCACCCAGGACGAGATGGGGTCGAGTCTGAAATATGGGTGACTGCACCAATGCCTCTATTTGAGCCGAATGCTGTACACGAACAAAGTATCGAGCTGTCGATGCAATATGAAAAGTGTTGTACGGTAGCAGGTCAACATATTCCTCCATCTGGTCATTGTGCAGAACTGGCTTGGGTGAGGTCCAGGTAGGCAGGACCATGTCAAAATAATGGTTCATAAAAAGGGATGATTCGATGTGATCCTTCCAAACGGCGTGAGCCACTTCAGCCGAAGATTGATGACAGTAGCCCATTGCTATTGGACCGCCATGTGAGGGCTCTGCACTGCAGTCTGCACGACAGCTGCAGGACTTCACCGCCTGGTTGGATTTAAAAGGTGGATTGAGCGACACAGCATTTTCTCTACAAGATTTCAGGAATGGCGCATAATCTCATTAGCATTGAAGGAGGCCGTGACGTTGTCGGCGATGTATACATCTCTGGTTCCAAGAATGCAGGACTACCAATCATGGCAGCGTCAATCCTCACCTTGGGGGAAAGCACGCTGGAAAGAGCCCCCGGGCTGACGGACATTGAGAATTTCGCTAGCATCCTCCGGTACCTCGGTGGAAGCGTCGTCTGGAGGTCTAACTCCCTGCGGATTGACACGGCGCATATGGAAAACCGGGAGTTACCCGCCAGCTTGACACGGCCACTCCGGGCCTCGATCCTCGCTCTGGGACCCCTTTTGGCCCGTTTCGGGCATGTAAAGATCTCACTCCCAGGTGGTTGCACGATCGGCAAACGTCCAATCGACGAGCATATCAGCGGCCTTGAGAAACTCGGCGCATGCATCACACTCACGCAGATGGCGATTGAGGCTCGAGTTCCGTGTACCGGGCTGCAGGGCACAGTTCTTCAGCTACGTACACCCACCGTCACTGGGACCATGAACCTGATGCTGGCAGCATGTCGGGCCAGAGGCATCACGCACATCCACAACGCCGCGCGAGAACCCGAGGTGGTGGATCTGTGCCGCTGTCTCATCAGCATGGGGATGGTCATCCACGGCGAGGGCACAGAGCATCTAGAAATTCATGGAAGGGATATCCCACTCCGTCCATACAACTACCGACTTATGGATGACCGGATCGAAGGCGGGACATTTCTTATTCTGGGAGCTATGGCTGGCAACCCACTTCGGATCCACGGGTGCCGCGAAGACCACCAGGCCGTACTGATTCAGAAACTCCGCGCTGTTGGGGCCCATATCACCATCGAGACACCAGCCATCATCATGATCATCAAAGCCAGCAACCCCAAAGCCATAGATATCATGACGGGACCGTACCCGGCTTTTCCTTCCGATCTTCAACCGCAGCTCATGACGTTACTGTCCATCTCACAGGGCGTCAGCCGAATACACGAAACGGTCTTTGAGCGACGATTCAACCATGTAGCGGGTCTACTGGCCATGGGGGCGAAGATACAGCATGTAGGAAAGAATGCCGTAATTCACGGCGTTGAAAGACTCGTTGCACGTGCCGTGGCAGCGACAGATCTCCGGGCAGGAGCCTCTCTGGTGATAGCTGCGATAGCTGCGGAAGGTGTCTCAGTTATTCAAGGATTGGAGCATGTAGATCGCGGGTATGAACGGTTGGGGGACAAGTTGAGTAGCATAGGAGTAGTCTTCAACACTGAGGCCGCAGGATCAATTGCCGGTCCGAATTAGCCTTAACAGCCTCGGTATTAACCAGATAACAGCTATTTATATGTACATGCAGAGTATATGGACAAATATAACAGTATAGTAAACACTCATGCTAAAAAGATCAAAGGCCTAAGGGGATGCCATATCATAGCATTGACGTATCGTCCGACTGCCTAGATTCTCAAGTGCATGGAGATTATTGGCAAAGGTGATCTTCATTTGCAAATGAAATTAGTAACTGCTTTCTCGTGACCCTCTCAATGGATATACATACATATGCTTGTCCGTAGTACCCGCTCAGTCTACCTCGATAGTATGCACCCGCCTGGCTGAGAGCAACCTGGATCTTCTGGCAGTCGACGGACTCGCGCTTCGCGAAATCGGAATGGATGACCGCTCCGGTTGCAAGGGGAGAAAGAAGGGTAAGAGAGACGAGACTGGAGATTTGCATGTTGATGTTGATAACTTGGAGTTTTGAGCTTGATGGCATGAATTCGGGGCAGATGTGCGACTATTTATGCTTTCCAGTGCGTACTATATCTCAATCAGCCATCCAAGTATAGACATAGAGCGGCAGACCCTGCTTTCTCCCGTTATTCCCGCTGTGGCATTGCAGCGCTTAAGCCCGCATGTAATTGAGCCGATTGGTCTCGGCCCCTGTCGAGCATGTCCTCTGAAATAGAATCCAAAGACACTCCTTAGTACAATAAACCCTGCTGGATTCTGCCTTGACAGGTTGACAGCGCTTAATCCCAACATTCGCGAAGCCGATTGGCTCTCAGACCCTGTTTAATTAAGCATAAGCACATTCCCATTCCGGTCTAGGTCTAGGATAGTCCATATCACAAACCAGTTCATCCAAATTGTGGACATGCATCAGTAGGTTCGTTGCCAAGCTGGAAGAGTCAGGTTTTGTCGTATCGAGGCGCGCGGGAGCCCGTCCAATGTGGTGTTGGGATGGGCCGCGCCGATGTAGACCCTGGTAAAGTCGTACCTTGGGATGGATGATGATTATCAGACTGCTATAACCGCTGTGACTGAGCCAGCCTAGTTTATCATCCGGTTCGATGTTCGAGGCTAATATACCATCAGCAGTTGGCTCGACATGCTTCGAAGTCTGTCAGAGAAACAAATAAACAACTTACAAACGACGGTACGAGTTTAGGTGTGTGTGGCTCGAAACCGAAAGAGACCTACCTCGAAGGACAAAGGACGAAAGACCGAAGTTGAAGACAGTAAGTGCCTTGCAATGGTCTCAGAAGCAGTATCGACTAAAAGCAGTAGATAGGTGAATTGATTATCATGTTATTCTTCAAAAGTGGAAAACACCGGAGGAGGTGAGGCAAGATCAAGACAATAGTGAATGTAACTAGGAAGACAGATTTCTTCTGTCTTTTCCTTGTTTCTGTTTCTCGCGTAATGAGAGAAAAGTGAATATTCTTATGTTATAACGGAAAACAGCGATAAACAGTCGCGAGTGAATCAACGTCACTTATTATATCTTTAGCTATATAACTTCCAGCACTTCCCATGACCCCCTCTCTAAACCCTCTCTCCTTTGACTGCATTACATCGATCAAAGATCAAGTTGTGGAAGTCATCAATATGGCAGACTCAACTACTTCTATCCTCTTTCAGATCCCATGTGAACTGCGCCTTGAGATCTACCGGCGCGTGTTCTTCATCTATCCCCACGCGAGAACCAGAGTCAGTGAATTCAGGCTCAGTGAAAACACAGAGACTCCCCCCTGCAAAGCCTTTGAGGTGTACATCCATCCAGCCAAACCCCATGCCTCCGTCTACAGAGGAGCTCCGAACGAATACCGCTCGCAAGAAGACCAGCATCGTCTCCACGAGTACCGCTACACACCCCAAGAATTCCTAGCCATCCTCAGCGTCAGCAAAGACGTATACAAAGAAGCGATGCCCCTCTTCTACTCGGAGACATTCTTCTGCTTCCCGAAGAACGGACGTCTGGGCTTGCCCACCAGCTTTCTGTGCAATATTGGCCCGCGTCGAGAGCAGTTTGTCCGTCGGCTGTCGTTCGAGCTCCCACCTCTTAACTACCCTTGTACTATCGAGGAGAGACCTACTCTGAAATGGGTGTCTGTGTTTCTCCGGTTCATGAAGCACGTCGATATTCTGGAGATCATCCTGTTCGTCAGCGAGGAGAGACTTGAGTTCGGGGAAAAGTTCATCAGCATTGCTCGTCCTGTTCTGCCGAATGAGCTTATTTTGGATATTCTTTGGGGATTTCACCACATACTGGCTCTTCGAAATCTCAGTACCCTCCGCTTTGTTGGCGATCCAGACAGGATCCTGCGCAACCCGGATGACAGGACCTTGCTGGAAGGGGTGAGAGGCAAAAAGCTCTTTCGTGGAGACACCGGTCGTCGGCCTCGTGTGGTCTTCGAGCATCCTGCTGGTCTTGATTAGGTGTGAGAAGTCCATAGGGTGTTTTCAAGAGGTGAGCTATGCATTGAACCTTGGAGTATCCTTTAGCTGACATTTCAGTGTCAAATAGTTGTTCTTTGTTTGGTCCATATTGAGAGATCTTGATGATGCACATGCTTATGGTGAATACAACACGGTGGATGACTTGGTGTCGCTTTGGAGAAGCATGGGTCGATCAGTCAGCTTCGAGGTTGGAGAGAATGTATTTAACGCTGGCTTCTTTCGTCATCAGGAATAGCAAATTACTTTGACGTCTTTGTCTCTTACGATTCAAGTCATCACCATCAATAATAGCATAGGAAATAGGAGAATATCATGGGCTTATGATCAATACTACCTAATATCCAATATGCTCTTGATGTATCAGACGTACCTCCTCTCGGGCCCCAGAATGCTTCAAGTGGTCATTGCTTCTATGTCGTTCCGCCAACTCGTTCTTCAAAGCTCATCTATCTCCTAGAGCCTAGGCTACCTATCCAGCAACAAATCAAGCACTGGAATCCCTCTTCATCTGCTTCAACTCCTCCACCACCCTATCCACCCCCCACCCCTCCTTCAACCCTCTCAGGACAATCTCCTGCTCACTCTCCGGCGCCATCCCACTCGGAGCCGGCGGCCGCCTGTCCAGATTCGTCGGAAACGGATACCCATCCGCAACAGCCATCACCAGCGCCTCAAGCTCCGCATCCAGCCGTCCCCCCGCCTCCTCCCACCGCCGCAGCATATCCCCCCAACACCTCTCCACAATCGGCACCGTATCGATACTCTCCATCGTCTTCCCAAACGCACAACTAATCTGCAACAGGTTCGCCTTGCGCTGGAAACCCCCGTCAGGCCCGTCCTCAGGAGCCATCTCATTCGCCCCCGCCGCATGAAACACCGCCGGGTTGAAAAACACCCCGTCCCCCAGTTCCAGCGGCAGCGCGACGTAGTTCTCCCGGAAGAACGCCCGGAACTCTTCCCTCCGCCACGCGAGGTACCCTGGCTCATAGCACTGGCTGAAGGGGAGGAAGCGCGTGGGCCCACTGCACGCCGGCATGTCGCTGTGCGCGACGGCCCCCTGCAGCGTGAGATACTGCGAGGCGAGGTGCAGGGTGCGCGGGAAGCGGGCGGTGGCGGCGGCGTCCTGAAAGCCGAGGTGGTAGTCGCGGTGGGATTCCTGGGCGGCGCCGCCGGGTTTGACGATGTTGACTTGGGCTGTGACGCGGTAGGCGGGGCCCAGCCAGGCCTCGGCGATGAGGCGCAGCCAGGGGTTGGAGTAGTACGCTACAAAAGAGCGGGGGTCCAGGAGGGCGTGCTTGCTGAAGGAGTTCCAGATGCGGTCGTTTTTGCCGCTGGCGGCGAAGTGGTCGCCTTTCTTTGTTGCGGTGAGGCGCTCTTGAGCGATGATGTGGGTGAAGGCCTCGGTGGTGGCTGTCAGGGTTGGGCCGTGGCGGGTTGGGTGGTACATGCCCTTAAGCACGACGATGCCGGGCCCGGTGTTGAGGGCGTGGTGCCATTCGTTTTGGAGATTGGTGGTGAGTTCCCCGTTGAGGTGGTCAAGGGCGGTTATATCGTAGATGGGGATGTTCTTCTCAATGCCTGAGGATAGAGGGTAAGAGGCTTTGTCAGTGGTCTGGCTGCATATCGCTTTGAAATCTTCTATTCGAGAAGTCGTCTCGAACAGTCGACTGGTGGCCGAATGGTTTCTGTTCATCTCGGAGAGTGTCGTAGCAGATGTCCCAACAGGTAGTCTGATTGCGCAACACTGCGCGATGTTGTCGAACTGTTTAAATAGTCTCTGCCTCCGTTCTGAATTCCGAGGATCGGATCATGATGCAGAAAAACTGTGGGGAACATATGGAGCTGGACTCCACAGATGATGACCACTCTTACAACCTGCTCTGGTGCGTATACTGATGAACTTGAATCAAGCGGAATTTGACCTCCGCATCTTACCTTGTATGTTGGTCATATAACTCCGAAGTAAGGTTCACTTCATTCGCTAGTCGTTTCATCAAATATATGTCAATATTATCCATTTAGGCTCAATTCGACGCACGGTGGATGGTTCTACATGGAAACCACTTTCCGACAGTCACAACTGGACGTACTTTCTCATGAGCTCCTATTCTTCATGGACCGTATTATTACAGATGTACAGGGACTTTGCAGATGCCTAACCCGAGAAACGAGATTCACAGCAGGGTATGAGTTCAACATTGACGATGTCACCGTTCCAAGTCCCGACCTTCCCCATACGGCAAAATTTGAGACAGCAACTGAAAAATGAGTCATTACCCCCCCGAGAGTCAGTATGAAAGAGGAGTGACTAAGACATCACTAGGAATCAATACACAAGAGAAAAGAAAGCTGCCGCACCGGCATGAGCGTCGCTAAATATCATGGCCAAACCAAACCCAGCCTGAGCAAAAGTCTATGCTGACGACCCGAATTTGCACCTGAACGGAGAACCAGAAGAAGAAAATGCTATCCATCAGATTAAACGTCATCTCATCAATATACGTCACGTTCATGCATTCATCATGACCACTCCGACGCCCGAGGCTGGGGTGGCATCTGTCGGGATCGGCTCGTCTGCTCCCTTTGGCTCGCTCAGAATGAGCTGATTCTCCGACATCGTTTCCACTAGAGAACTGGGCCGATCAGCCACGGTAAAGAGAACCTTGAGGAGCACCTTTTGGTTCCAAGAACCGTCTGCCGTATCGTCCACCCGATGTCTGGTATGGATCATCAAAGTGCGCACCAGATCCCGGATATAGGCATCGGTGGATTCGTCTTGGAGCTTATCGAGACCATTAATCACGCAGACCAGCAGTGGTGGTGCATAGTGCAAAAGCGCATCGATAAGCGAGAGGACCGTTTTCCACGAGCCAAGGGTGCCATTCAAGGATGTAAAACGCTCCAGGCACAAATCACAGGCCTCGTGGCTCTCCACAACCGGCGGGAGGTAATCGATAAGTTGCCGTATCAGACTGTAAGCGAGGGCAATAAAACCTTGTTGGAACAATGTCAAACCGTCTGTAGACTGAGTCGGGATGGAGCAAAAGTGGGAAATGACCGGAAGCCGTGCCTGTCGAGCAAAAGTGGCGAAACAAGCAGAGAAAAGGGCAACAGTGTTGGGAAAGGTGGTGGATGGAGATTCGCCCACAGCGAGCATCTGCGAATGAGTGTTTGTCGCCCACTGTTGTAAGGATTGTAGCACACTATCTTCAGCGATAACATCCACGCCGGATTCGAAGTTGGCCACTTGGTCGCTAGCATTGAAGAAGTCCTGGAGATGCCGGGAAGAGAACTGAAGATCGGTTCGGGTGTACTTGCGTTTCGGGCCGCGAGACCAATTAAATCGTGAATCATCTTTTAATAGAAACATATTAGCTTTATCTAAGGAAGTTTCAGCAATGATACATACCCAAGTCGCGCGTCGCAACCGTCGTCCAGCATGTAATACCACTGTTTTGTTGGCTGACCGGGCGGAGACTTTGTCTGGCACAGTCCAACAACTGTGAGAGCAGGGCATCTCTCTTGGCAGCCATTTGGGCACGCGCGGACGCATCATGCTGGATTTCCCAAATCAACTGACGAGTGAGAGCGTTCTGTGCGGCGAACCGGCGATCCGATTTTTGCAAGCCGATCTGCTTCAGTCGAGCTTGTTCCCACAAGGAAAAATCGGGGTATTGAAATGTGCTGTTTTCCCCAACGCAGTCCACGGTATCAAGATCCATCTCGTTGGTGAGCATGCGGCTGATATCTTTGGCACATTGTCGAATACTGCGTAGCAAATGCTCGAAATCCAGATAAGGGTCCAGACTAGGACTGTCCAGCAACCGACACTTGGCCTTTCTGACGTACCAATCCATAAACTCTCCCAGCAAGAGGAAGATGAGAGCGTAGAAGTTTGCAATAGATAGGACTAGTTCTCTGTTCGATGAGAGATCATGGTCTCCCGCTGGAAGGCGAACGAAATCATTGATCTGGAGCAGGATTTCGAGAAGACCTTCAATGACTCTTGGGTAATCGGCAGAAGCCTATTGCATCTCGTTGATCAGTCACTCTTACTCAAAGAAACGAGAAAGTCTGGTACAAAAACCTTACTTTGATGACTGACTGCAAAACACCGTGGAATAGAGCAATGTAAGCTTCGTTTCTAGGAAGGGCTGACAGCAGCACTAAATGCAGATGGACAGAAGAGATGAACTGATCACAGAGTGCCATGGAACGGTTAAACACGCGCTGGCGTGGGGTAGACATCCAGACGTTCTGCACATTGCCTATCATGGCCGAGACATCGCGGAACTCTTGAAGGCGTTCGTCGAAGCCGACCTGATCTTGCTGCGGCAGATGTTCCTGAAACTTTTTCCAGGTCTGAGCCAATTCATTGCATTCAACGTCGAGTTTTGCAATTACGGGGTCCCTGAGGGCCAGTGGATTAGAAATTCGGCTCTGGAATGTTGCAAGGCGATATGATGATGATGACAACCGTCCAGCCGACGTGGTGTCCAACATGTGAAAGGACGGATATGAGGAAACTTACGAAGAAAAATGTCTCTTCTCAAATCGTTTCTCCCACAGATTGATAGCCATTTGATTGTTTTGGGGAGACTTAGAAGCCTCAGAAACAGAAGAAGTGGCTAGAGATGTCATACTGATGCGGAATCACCGGATTGAGATGGCGACTCCGAGCTGGTGGATGTCCGAAAAGGAAGACGAGGGGACGGTCTCGTCGAGGAGAGCGAAGTGTTCATGTCAGAAGCCAAAGAATCAATCAAGTGAATGCGTTCTCAACTGTCCTGTCGCCGATCCATCAAACACCTGGGGTTTATGAGTCTGTAAGTCTTGTTCCGGAACGTTCTGCTATATTATGGTGGACTGTCGGGGTTGCCTAAGGTACTTTGATTATGATGGTTGAGGATCACCAGTAAGAATCATGATTATCTATGGCAATTGCATGTTGTGCACTTTTTTGCAACGGAACGACCCGC